GGACGAGGTGCCAGAAAACTCTGTGATTACGTTACTGGAGCACGGCTCGTTTTTTGTGGTTTTAAAAGTGAGTGTCAGGACTTCAGGGCTATTTTTTTTTCAGGTCAAAACCGAAGTTTGGGCAGGGCATAAAAACCTGCTTGATGACTAAGTTTATTCTTAAAAAGCTTTCTAGAGCTTGCTGGAGAGGGGAGCCTTTATTCTGAGAGGGAGCTGGTACCAGTCTTTTTGGACTTCCACGCAAACGGGGTTAAAACTGAATGAGTGCCAAGGATAGGAAAGAACCCCTACCTTTCAGGAGACTGTTTGCCACATAATCTGTAGATCCAGTCCCCTGGATTTTGTCTTGGAGGCTGTGTTCTGCCTCTCCTCCTTGCCCTGGGTGAACTCTTTCTGCTCGAATACCCACCGCATCGGTGGAATTACCTTGAACCACGGCTGGCCGAAGCATGCCCTTACATTGCCCCAGATCTGGGACAGCTGAAGTCTTTGACCTGGTTACTCAGCTGAACCGATAATACCTCTCTGACACAGTGCATGTGTGGAGAAAACTTTTCATCTCATGACGGAGGTTTGCTGCTCGGAGCCAAGGCTGGGAGCGAGGGGACCTGAGCCAAACCATTTACTCAAGGGGCACGCAGAATTTGCCTGGTCAAGTCAAACTGGCAGTGTTTCAGCAGCCTGAAGGCTGCTCCTCATGCTCTGTTCTCGTCCCTAATTGCTGCAGGTCTCAAACTTTCTTTACAATGAGGACAGCTGCTGGCTGCACCAGATCTCAGGCAGGCCTGGAGGTCCATTACAACGCAAAGCACTGCTCCCCCTTCCTGAAAAGGCGTCTGTGTGCTGGGTCGGAGTCTGTTCACCACTGAGTGCATGGAAACCCTTGGGTGCAGATGAAGAATGTTGATGTCTGGTGGATGAAGGAGCAAGGAGTGGCAAGGAGACATCCCACTGTCAACCAACTGCTGGATTTGAGGATGCAGGGATAGATCAAGGAGGGTGTTAACAATCTAGAGAGTGGGGCCATCACACAGACAGGTGTTGCCAGGAGGTTATTTTGCTCCAGGAGGTGACATTCCCTTCACCTCGAGCCTGCAGTGCACACCACCAAACATTGTCCATGTGCTGTAAGTGCCTTCTCTTGCTCCATCCACTGAACAGCGTGCCCACACCTTGATACCTTGGGCGCGATGCTCTCCTCCATGGAGGCAACAACGTCCTGCCCATCAAACAGCCTGCCCCAGCCCCTTTGAATTTCAGCGCACTGCCCCTTTTCTGTTCAGGTGTATTGCGATTGTGTCTGGTGGCGAGCGAGCCTATCCATCACTGTATCCACACAGATCCCAATTACTCCTTTTGACAGCTCTTATTCACGCACCTCCCTGTGCCTCTGACATCTCAATTATTGATGGGGCTCGCCCGGGAGGCAGCGCTCTGTTCTCAGCATGGCTGCGTTCCAGCTCCCTTTCCCATTGAGTTCACGCACGCACCATGCCGAGCGCTTCTTTATGTGCAAAGCTATTGAAGTGGAAAGGGATCTTTATGAGCATGCGAGCTCCAGGGCTACGCTACCGACGGGGGCAGCGCGAGCCAAATCGCACCATGGGTACGGCGCTGGGAAATTTCCTCTCCCAGTGGAGCCCAGCAGCGTCTTGTAAAATGATATGATCTCGTATGTTTAATGCTGAAGATCCCTTCGTCTGCTGAGCCCTCCTTGCCATTGGGGTCACCCTGCACTTGCATTTCTGTACCAAGGCTCAGTCGCTCATTGCCCCTGCAGGCGTAAAATCTGGTATTTTGAAGAGGGTGCCCTTTCCTTTGTCTCAATATGAGTTTGTTTGCTGGCTTTGTGGCAAGCCTTTCCGTTCTGATGAGGAGCACTGACACAAAGAAAGGAGCTTCAAAGAAGCTCACTATGTTGTCAAATTGGTTGAGAGTTAAAGCTGTGCCAGGGGGAGGATTGCAAAAACATGTTTTGATTAGGGTTTTGTGTATCTGGGAGGCTCTGGTTGTCTCGCTGTAGCAGGAGTCAAGTAGGAGGGATGATGAAGTGGTCAATCAGCTCCCGACGTTCGTCCTGCCCCCAGCCTTGCCCCGCAACCTCCTTTAATTCAAAAGTAACCAGAGGTTTTGTGCTCGGTGAACAGAGGCAAAAGGGAGGGCCAGCTGCTGGGGAAGGTGCAACCAGAGAGAAGCAGCAGCGTGGGGTGTGCAGGGCGCTGGGAAAGGACACTTGGGGTTTGTTTTTGGAGATCCGTGGCAGCAGGGGCCTCACAGGTTGGCTTGAGCTTGTCAGGGTGGTTGGTGGAGCACTCCAGGGGCAGAGAGGACCCAACTGCACGATATCGCTGCCAGTGTCTGCACAGCCAGAGCTTGGCTGCTCATTTGGGGTCTGTCAGGACCCCTGGCCTGGGTGAGGATCACAGGTGTCCCCTCCTGGCTGGCCATGACAGTGCATTAGCAGGACAGATCTGCAGAAGTTACACATATTACAGCCTCACCTGGACATTTCTTTGAGTGGGGTCTTCACATCACTATGGGTGACAGCAGCGTCCTCATGCCTGACAGCATCGCCCCAGATGCTCAGGCCGTTGCGCAGGCACTGGTGGTAGCAGAGACAGCCAAGCCTGCCAAGCAGGGCGTGTTTTATTTGTCTGGAATCCCATGAGCAGACAAAGAAGGGTTAAAATAACAGAAAGTTGAAAACCCGTTATCTTCAGGAACTGTGATCTTTTCTTTTTGGTTAGGCAGGTTCCATGGGACCCTGTCCCCCCAGATAGAGGAAAGGTCACCCTCCCATACCTGATGGCCCCACAGCTTTCCCCAGAGCCTGTCCAAACATGGCTGTTTTCCTTCCCAGCCCTTTTCCTTCCTTCCCCTGGACTTGTCTCCTTGCACAGAGCTGGCTCTGACCCTGAGATCAGAGCCCAGGTGAGCTCTTACCAGAGCTGCTCCATTATTGCCAGCCTGAAACCCACTCAGCTGAGAGCTGCAAACAAGAGGCTCAGTCACTCCTGACTCTGTCCTGATCAGAAATATTGTTGAAAGTGGCCAAAGCCACTCTTTTGCTTGATTTTGCACTGTCTTTCATGTTTCTTCTCTAGTGACTCTGCCGTGTGGTGCCTGTTCCTCGAAGCACCGGACCGGGTGGAGCTGTGCCTGAGATAACCGCTGTCCTTTTTGCCTCAGAGGTGCTTTCTGATGCTCTAGCAGGAAAGCTTTGGAAAACCTGGCCCAGATAAATGGCTTTGGGTAGTTCCTAGTTCCTCCTTCACTTCCCAAAACCGGGGCAGCTCACTTGGGGGACTTTGGTTGTTGATAAGTGATGTTTGCCCATTCTACAGCAAGGTGATTGCTTGTCTCCCTCAGGGAGGTTGCTTGTTTCTTGCTGACATCCTGTTCCCGTGGGGAAGCTGCTGTGCCCCCTCGTAGCATCTGGAAATTGTGGATTTCGGCCAGAAGAAACGTCCCCAGCTGGCCCTGAGTGTTCAGCCTTAGATGCTGGTTTGTGTTTCAGAATGGCTTTACAGAGTTAAAAGTGTAGAAGTCAAGGGAAATCAGCTGGATTTGGCCTCAGCCTGTAACTCAGTTCTTAGCTCGGTACCCAAGATGGTGAATTTTTCAATGATTTCATGGTATGCGGTTTTATTTGGGTCAGGGAGAGTACAGCGTATGACTTTGCTACCCTTTAGGGAAGGGAAAATCAGTGCCCCATCTAATGATTCAGTACACAGGGTTTCCTAACAGCCTGCGGGAGAAAGGTGTTTTAATTCTGTGTTCATTCCTGAATAAGCTGCTAATTCGAGTTTGCCATTTCCTTGGAGCCCAGAGGAGAGGAGTCTGCGATCAAGTGGAGTGGCTCAACACTGCTCTCTCCTTTCCCTCCTTATAAAGATCAGGCTTATCATAACAAACCTTCAACTTCCAGCCCTTGTGATGGTCCTCCCAAGCCATTTCAAGAGTCCTGCATGATCCACTGTAACGACCCTGCTGTTGGGAGTCTCTGACTAGTTAGTAGTGACCCCAAAAAAGCTAAAGTGCTCAGTGCATGAAGACCACAGCTTCATTCTCTGAAGGATGCTGCCCCTCTTGCCTGGCCTGCTGGGTGCTGGGCAGGGTCTGCAGCCCTTTCACAGAGCCCAAGGGCTGCACCTCGTGGCTGCAGGAGCTGTGGGACACTTGTCTGGGGCTCAGCAACCTTACCCTGGGGAAAGAGGGGCTGCTTGGATGTGCAGGGCTCAGCCCCGTGCTGTTCTCTAGGTAGTTCAGTGTATAAAATCACTGGAGACATCTTCAGCAAAAAAGCCTCCCCGCAGAACCGTTCTGTTGCCTGTTGAAAGAGGATTAATTTTTCCCCCTTAAATAAAATGAGCCGTGTTTGAAATCTGAAAGCCCTCACCGAACGCCTTCTTGGAGCCACAACGAAAGCGGCTTCCAGGTCCCATCATAGCCTCCTGCCGGACGCAGATCCAAACTGCAAACCCTTCTAACAGCTCTTTAATAACCCTGCACAGAAGGAAAAATCTGTCACCTTTCCCTCTGCGGTTTCTTCTCCACTTTAATGCACTGGAGAAACAAGATGGGGCCGGGAAGGTTTTCAGAGAAAGACTCGTGGGAACTGCAGCTGCCTATGGAGAGGGCTCATTTCTTTAGTGTCTGAGGGGAACCGCAAGTGCTTTGCTGAAGGGCGGTGTGTGTGGGTGGGTTTGGAGGGGTGAACCATTCTGACCCATGCATTTCAGAGGAACCACAAACACTTTAGAGTAACAAAGGGTGGAAAAAGCGAGAGGTTTCTGCAACACATGTGACTTTTCCCTGAGGTTTGGAGCCCCGCGCTATGTTCCAGGCCACGTTGTTTGCGTGTCAGGCTCCGAGTTAAGCTCTCTCCCACAAACCTCGCTTGAAGTTACTGTGACGACCCACAGCCTAAAGTGTTGCTTTTTGTTTTTCTTCTTTTTTTCTCTCGTTTTGTTCTCCCTCACCCCCTCTCCTCTCTGCAGCTGAAGCTCTCGTTTACCTTGGACCAGGAGAGTGGGATGCCTCAAGGCTGTTATATCTATCAGTACCGGGACAGCAACAAGTAAGTCCCGCGGAAGATTGCATGCAGCTGATGGTGGAAGGTGCATTGAAAGGAAATGGCCCTCCCTTCTGGCTTGTGCCATTTAGAAGTAGATTAAAGCAAGCTTCAGGCTTGACCTGAAACTGGAAACAGCTCCTTGTAAAGGCCAGATCCTTTAAAATGCACCAGGCCCTGAAGCCCCTTTTCTTTTGTGGTGTTAAAAGCTGCTTTTATTTGGCTAAAAGGCCAGCTCTTGGGTACCACAGGCCCTGGCAGAACGCAGCCAGACTTTGCCCAAGGGTGTTTGCAGCTCAAACACTGAACTGGTTTGTGCTGGGCTGACTGGGAACGTGGGCATGGGGGAAAAGCATCCAAAGCTGCCCCAAAAAGAGCAACCCTTGCTTCTGCTCAGCCACAGACAGATGCAGCATCCCCTTCTCTCTGCTTGAGCTCCCACGTGGCTTCACAGAGTGGCCTTTCCCTTGGGGTACTATGGCCCTAGTGCAGCCACGCACTCTGTTTTTATAAGGTACCATATGATATTCAAGCTTTGGATGTGTTTGGAGTACAGAGTCCTCAATTTCTAGGTATTCAGCCTATTTATACTAGCTGCCGTCGCGAATTGGCACCCAAGATGTTTTTATTTCAAATCACATTCTCATTATCAAATTGACAGCAGCAGCAGCACAGTTCAGGATATTGCTGTGTTCGCGCCGGGTTGCTTTGCCTGAATACCAGCATGTCATAAATCCATAGCCTGCTACCTCCACCCATATAGTGCTGCTGCTTGCCAGTTATTGAAGGTTAACCTAAAAAAAAAGAGGGTACATGAAATTGTCAGTTGAGGGAACAGCCTGTAATTAGATCTGCTCTGAAACGCTGACGAGAACGGGCCTGACGAGGAAGAGGGACATCCACAAGCAGCACCTACCCCTTTCTGAGCTGAGAAATCTCAGGGTTTAAACAAAAAGGGGATAATTCGGGAAGAATTTATGGGATGATCCCTCCTACCTGTGGATGGGTGATTAACACGTGCTACACATTCCCATCCCAACTGTCCCAGCCCTGGAGATGTGGATGAGGAGAGCCGGTACCTCCAGCACCACCAAGCCAGCAGGGAAACGTGCTGTTCAGTGCAGAAACCTAAAATCAACAAGGGAAGAGTGTTTGTTTTTGAGGTTTCTAAAAGCAGTGGCACACAATGGACAGTGAGGAACAGAAAACCCCCAGACCTATTGGGTTTTGTTAAGGATGTTTATAGATCCAGCGTTTCTAATTGTGTGGCGCATATCTCCAAAATCAGCAGCCATGTTTTTTTCTGCTGCAGACTCTCCTCTCTCTGGACTCGGGTGGGTGATTTGTGCCATTGTTTGAGGAAACTCCAGGGATGGGAGTGGAGTTATTTTGTTCAAGCACTAAGCACAGTAGTAATTCTGCTTGGAAACCTTCCTTGCTTTTAGCTGTGAGTGGTCCGGCGTATGACAAAGTGGCTGTGGCATTTTGGCAGCTGCTGATTTAGAGATGTATGGCTGTGCCCTGGGTTGCTGGCAAGCGTGGGAGCTGAGCCACCCCAAGCCAGGCCAGCGGGGGTTGTGGGTTGGAAAAACAAGGTGCAGGCAGGATGAGTGAGATCGCAAGCAAATCCAGACTGTGCGTGTCTGATGCATCCCAACTGCGGTTACACCTCCCTGCAGCGCCCTGTATTGTTTGTTAAATATTATTTGTATTTCATAGCTTGCTTGACCAGTCCAGTGGAAGCAGGATCCCATTTCCCAGGGAGAACCTCCCTAAGTTTTGCACATCCTTATCCCCCTAAGCCCTGTGCACCTCCGACAGTCCTTGCCTGGTGAACTGAAGCATGAAGGTCTGTGCTACGGCTGACGTATTCTTGCAGGTAAAGTGCCCTTGAGCCGAATGTGTGCTCGGTTCTGGGTGATTTTGGAGGAGCTCACGTGCACTGCAGCCTTATTGGCAATGGAGCGTTGCATTTGAATAGTATCGTAGAGCACCGGACGCAGAGACTGTACTTCCCAAGCTCTGGGCCTTTCGTAGGGTTAATTTGCTATCCCGTATGGCAGTTGTTGTGATAGCTTTTCCTTCCAATTTCCTAGGCCTTGTGTTCTCCCAGGCCTAGTCAGGCTTTGACGGTACTCATCAGGATGCAAGGGGATAACAGCTCTTCCGCATGCTTCTAAGGACATATCTAGAAGTTAAAGCAACATAACATTTGTGTCTGCACCATGTTTTAGAGCCCTTTACAGCCCAGAGAAGAGGTGCTGGCAATACACTGAGCATCCCTCCAAGCTTGTGCATGGGAAAGACTGGAAATGTTCACCCGAAGCCCGGTGTCCTCGGCAGAGCATTGGGGTCCCCATGCTGGAGACAGACTCGTGGGTGTCTGAAGCTCTCAAAGCAGCAGCTTTAACAGGAGAAAGTGGAGGTGAGCCTGGTGATGGGAACCCACTCTGACCTGGGGAGTGTGCCTGGTGCCCCTGTGAGAGTGGTTCAGTGCCACCCTGGCCACCAGAGTGGTGTCCCTTCCCCTCCAAATGGCAAATGCTGTTCCAAGCTGCAGCCAGACGGGGCCACCGGAGAACAGCGGATATTGGCCTCCTGCTCGCAGAACAAAGGACCGCAGCATTGCTGAAAGTGTAATTACCAGAGCAATTAAAATTTCTATTGCTTAGGCTGGAAGTGCAAGTACTATGCAGGCTCTTACAAGGGCAATCAATTGGAATTTGTTCTCCTTAAAATGATAAAACCCCGCCAAGGAATTTTTGCCCCGCAGCTTCCCATTGCCTGTCTGCCTGCCTGCAGCAGCGGTCATGGGCACGGGCACCCTCTCTGCTATTGCACCCTGGGTGCTGAGCATTCTGGGGACACAGACTCAGCAGAGCCTTGGATTGAGAGCAGAAGGGGTGCTGAGCAGCCAGCTGCTCACCCCTCCACCCCCTACTAGCATATATATCATATCATATATATATATCTCATATATCTATCTCCTATATATCATATATGTATCACATATATATAGGTATCCGATGACACTTGATAGTCCCAGTAGCGATCCAAGTGCTGTGCTTGGAGCTGTATGGAGCAGAGAGGCTGTCACCGCTCCTGCGGTCACAGGGGTGAAACCAGGGGCTACCACTTCTCCCCTTTTTCCCTGCTCAGACCCAGACACTTTCCTCCCCTTGGCGGCCAGCCCTTCAGTCCTTCCTGGCCTCAGAGGAAATTACTTGACCTCCCGTTTTCTTATTTTTAAGCTGTCTGCTTTTTTGTTTTTAAACCATGTTACTTAAATTCTCCCCAATGGGGACCAGCCAGTGCAATTGATGGAGCACTGGGCTGCTGCACCACAGCAGGATGACTGTCCTGCAACAGGAGCCGCGACACGGGGATGGCAATGACGTGTGCTGGGTCACAGTCGGAACAGGAGCATCTTGGCAGCCTTCAGGTGGCCCCAGAGCAGTGACATCTACGAGAGGACAGCCCTGCCGGCCTTCCCACAAGATCCAAGTGCAAAACCCAGCCAGGCAGTAAAAGACCATCAAGGCCATTCGCATCCACCATGGCTCACAAATCCCATCTTACAACCCGCACTCACCAGGTCCCCAATTTGGGAACGTGATAGTGGCTGTGCTGAGGAAGCACCGCCTGCCCGCTCCGAGTCTGCCTGCCTGGTGCGGGTGCTCCTACTCTCGTGGGCTGCCAGGCAGCGGGAAGGATTAGATCAAGAAAGGTTACAGATCATCAGGAAAGACTTCTTCTAGCCCAAGTGCAGGAAGAGCCAAAGCCAACTTGAAATCCCCCTGGAAAAAATGAATTGTGAGAAGTTTAGTGTCTTTTAGCTGTATTCAAGAAACAGAAGATTTAAGCTGTTTTCTGCATTCGTTGTCGCTATCCAGACCCTTCCCTAGAGACCTCCTGAGCTCTGCTCCCCTACCCACAGCAAGGCTGACTCTTCAAATGCCTTTTTTTGTCTTCCTCCCAAGACTCTCCAATTACTGTCACCTTTCTCCGATGATGCAGTGCTCAGGGTCGCTGCCAGCCCAGACCCACCGAGGAGCTATCAATCCTGGTCAACATTCACCCTGTTACATGGGCTGTATTTGCAGGGCACTGTGACACGTCCTTGTTGGTCTCTTGCAGGTCCTTTCCTCACATCACAGGCGCTGCCCTTGCCGATAGCCCGGCTCACAGTTCACTGGGGAATTTCATTTTAATTCCCCGCTGCAGCTGGGGTTTGTGTCAGGATTACGAATTTGCAGTGGGGGCTTTCATGTTCTCTTCAGACTGATTTCTAAACGCAGAGGAGCAGCATCTCGCGTGGAGGCACTTAGAGACCTCTTACAAAAGCGGCATTTCAGTATTGATCATTTTTTCTCCCTGGGGACCCAGAGCACTACAGATATTGCTGCTGTGCAGCGTAGCCACTTGCGGGCAGCACCACACAGCTCTTCACGGTGAGGAGAGAAAAATAGCTCCAGTCGAAAGGAAAAGTGGTGCCCCCTTTTATATAGAGATCAATGATGCCTGGTACATAGGATTATCACTTAAAACACCAGGACTTCAAATGCCAGGGTGCATGCACTCCTGATGCTGACAGCCTGCTGATATATAATGCTGTTTGGGTTACCAACTGAGCTCCTCCGTGCAATCTTTTCATAAGGTGAATGTAATATCTGCAGTGATGTACCCAACGCTACATCAGGAGAGCCAGCCTATAATTATCTAGAATTGTTTGATCGGGTTATTTGTCACTAAAGCATTAGCTCACTCCATTTACTGCGACCATTCAGGGCTGCAGCAGGTTGGTGTAAACAGAGCTAGGGTGGAGATCTGGGGAGGGGGGGTTTATTTATCTGACAAGAGCAGAGCAGAATGGTTTGAGGTTTATTCTTTTTTGCTGGGAAGGCGGTTGACTGGAAGTGCTAGGAGCAAAATGTGGAAAGCAGCTGACACAGCATAACAGATCTGTTTTCAGAGTTATTTCCCAGGTATACAGCTCATGTGTTGGA